CTCGGAAACTCACAGGGGCAGTTCTGCCTAGTCCTCCTGTAAGGTCACTGTAGTTGGAGTCGACACCATGGCAGTGAGTGTGAGCAGCTGCCTGTATTCCTTGGTCCATAGCCTCCTTTCATATTCAAGGCCAGTAGTGGCTTGTTGAGTTTCATACCACGTCATTGGGACACTAAATCTCCTGCATCTTTCTTTCCATTATGTTGAACCTGTCAGGTTAATCCAGAATAAGCTTCCCATCTCAAATTAGTCACATTTGCAAAGTTGTTTGTTTGCTTTGGCTATGTAAGACAGTATGCAAAGGTAAGTAGAAATGTATTGCTACAAAATCAATAACTTTTATTTAACAGAATTATCAAAGTGTGAAGCTATTTTTTGTCTACATGTGCTCCGTCAAGGTCTGTACTCGTCTGAAAGGGATGTTTCCATCTCTCTCTTCTGCACTATCCTCAGTGGTTCCATGGGAGAAAGATGAAGCCTTCTGTTCTCATGGCTTAATGGTTATGTGTTAGGCAGTTCACCAAAAGGGTAGTAGTTTGAAACCATCAGCTGCTCTGAGGGAGCAATGTGGGGCTTTCTACTCTCCATAAAGAATTAGTCTCAGAAACTCACAGGGGCAACTCTACTCTCTTCCAAAGAATTGCTATGAGTTGGAATCAACTCAGTGACCGTGAGTGAGTGAGCAAGCGAGCGTGCCGTGAAGATACCCTTACGGGCTAAGACAAATATACTACTGAGAGAACATGTCTCCAGTCATCCAATGGTCACAGGGGCAGGTTTTTTAACATGTTTTGTTTTGAATAAAGCCATGGATGTATAAACTAACCTTAGTAGCAGTAATTTTTGACTTAACTTTTGTATTCAGAGATTCTAGGAATTAGGATGTGAACATCTTTGGGGGAAGGCATGGTTTGTGCCTACCATAATCACATACAAAATACCATTAAAGCAAGTATTTTATGGTGTTTTTAATTTATGTATATTTGAGTTAGCCTATAATGTCCTTTTATTTCAGCCCCAAAGTAGCCCTTTTGGTTTTTGTCATAGGGCAGTGTTTGCTTATTTGGGGATACTTAGTTTCTCTAGTTGTGGAGTATAATGTTGCTGTTGTAAAGTTCTTTGACAGTCTTTTAATTTCAGCACTTTGAAATATGGCATCCCACTGCCTCTGGTCTTGTTTCTGGTGAGAAATTAGTTGTTGAACTTATTGAGGATTCTTGTTCTTGATGAATCACTTTCAATGGAAGACTCTTTGTCTTTTGGTGGTTTCCTGAGGATCTGTCTCTGGGTCAGAAGGACTCAAATGGCACCTAACAACCAAAGTGCAGGTCACTTCGAGCTTATCACATTTGGAGCTGATTGAGCGCTCCTGATTTGTGGATTAATATGTTTCACCAGTTCAGAGAGTTTTCCGCCATACTCTCTCTGCTCTCCTTTTCCTTCCGGATTCACACCTAACATGTGCTCACATGCTTAATGATGGCAGTTACTATTTTACCTCTCCAGGATTTCTATTTGGTTTCTTTTTATAATTTATTTCTTTATTGATATTTGGTGAGATATTATAATACGTTTCTTTCATTCTTTAGTTAGGATTTTCTGTTTTCAGCCTTTAACAATATTTTAGCTTTTAAAAACATGGTTAAAATAGCTGATTTAAAGTTTTTGTCAAATATTCCCAACATTTGGACTTTCCAGAATCAGTTTTTGTTGACTCCCTTTTAATTTTACTTTTTAATTTTCTTTGCATACCTCAACATTTTTCTGGAAAAGTAGACATTTAAAATATTGTACTGTGTCAGCTAGGGAAATCAGAATTTCCCTTCTCTTAGAGCTTTTGCTTATTGTTGTTTGCTTATTTACTTAGTAACTTTTCTGAACTAATCACACAGTCTGTTTTTGGTTGTGTCTGGCCACTAACCACTCTGCTTAATGGTCAGATAATGATTGAACCGAGATTTATTTAGATACCCGGAACTAGTAAATCTCTCAGTCTTTGTTGAGTGGCTTTGTATGTGTGTTCGAGTATGCTTTCAGCGCTCACCCGGTCATCTACTTCTCCATTAGCCTTCCCTTTCTACTTGTTCAAAGTTTTAAAGTTAACCAGAGGTAAAACCTTTGACTCTCTTCTCAAATCTTTCCCGAGACTGTTACAGCTTTGGGTATTTACCCACTTTTTAAAATTCCCAAGACTCTGTTGGAACCTTTCAAAGCTACCTATAAACATCTTGTTCCACACCTTCATTCTTTAAATTTTTTGATGATTGTATTGTTTGTTCCACCTGTTCCCTCTGCCTCAGACGGTCAAAGTGTTCAACAATTGTACCTGATCCTTTACAATAAGTGTTTTACATGAGGAGAGCTCTGAGTCAAATCAAATAAAAGTAGACCTACAAGTATTATTGAGTTAGTTAATTGTGCCAGCCTGGCCAATAATCACATGTGGTGCTGGTTGAAAGGCGGAGGGATAAATGGGTGGTGAGCCTCGGCCTTTCTAGTTCT